CAGAGTTAATCTGATATCTATATATCCCTTTGAAAAGATATTTTCTCCATTAAAGGCTATCAAGGTAGTTTTGCATCACTTTAAATCTTACTCTTGAAAATTCATTCTTATAAAGGCATCCAAAAGGATGACATTGGCACAGCTGCCAGCATTTATAAATATCTTCTTAACCAGGCAATTTATCAAGGTTCTTGTCCATCTTCATGTCTTGATACCACATATGTCAAATCTTCTTTAGTGAAATATCACAAAAGGGGCTATGGTTTACTGGAATCTTCCTTGAATTTTGGTCGATCCTTAATTGAGAGCACTTTCCTAAGATATTTTCTTCCTAAACTTATTGTATCTCCCCTTCCACCAAGATCTCCACTGATAACATTGCAGTCGAACTCGGCTTCAGGAAATTCATCATCATTAGATTCTACATTTCTTCCCTTTTCATCTTCTTTTTAGGAATCAGAATTTCGCTCTTGCTACGCCCTCTTTATTTTCGTTTATTATTTTTCCATTCTTGAATTTTGATCACATACTGGCGTAATTTTTCTTCTCTGATGAATCTTTCAACAGCATTTCTAAGATCCCAAAACTGATCAGTAGTATGCCTAGGTCCATTGTGAAATGTACAATACTTGGATTGATTAAACCCGACTTTATTGAATACCAGTCGTGGCTGCTCTACTTTCTTTTTCTCAGTCATAACTACCTCCCTCCAAATTTAAGACTGAGGTACATTTAGAGGGGTATATTTTTCATACATTCCAACCTGAGATCTATCATCTGAGTTTCTACCCCGAAAATATGCTTGCTTCTTGTTTCCCGGACGCTCTATTTCTTTTGGAAGTGCACTCTTCTTTCTTGGACTTCTACCCTAGTTATCTTTTCCTAGAGTATTTGTTATCCCTCTTTGCTCAAGCTCCAAATATTTCTTTGACCGAGCTCTAAATTCTTCCAGCATTTTTAGTGGATCTTTATAAATTGACTTTGCCAGTGTAGATGAACCATCCAAGCCAGCTACAATCAAATGCATGTGTACATTTTCCTGTAATCCAAGAACCTACAATGTTGCATCCTTGAAACGATCCAAATATTTCTAAATATTCTCCCCTGGTTGTTGTCTAATTTTTTCAAGTGTAAACTCGAACTTCGGGTGTTTCTTGCTTGTAGCAAAATTCAGCAAGAATTTATCTCTGAAATCCTCAAAGGATCTTATTGAATTTGCTGGCAAAGTAAAAAATCATGTCTGAGCTGCTCCTGTCAGAGTTGTAGCACATATCCGGGAAATGATAGGTTCATCAATTCCCTGTATATACATATCAGTATGAAGAATATCTATATGGACTTGTGGATCCTGACTTCCATCATATTTCGGCAAGTGTGGCGAATCAAACTCTTATGAGGATTGTGCATTCACAATATCATCGGTGAAAGGCTATTGTTGTATCGCCCGCTATAATATTTTCTCCTATACGTTCCAGCTCCAGCTCGACCTTGAATCTGAATATCCCAGTTGTGATCAGCTTCATCTCGGTTAGGCTCTGCATTTCTTATTCTTTCAGCATTCTAGTTGCGAACTACGACGTTCTTAATTCGACCTATATCAGCTTCACCTTGACTTTCATTGCCTCTATCTCAAACATGATTATTGACATCCTTGGCCGGATTTTCATTATCAATAACATTTTTGCCATGATAAACCTCCCTTTGTCTTTCTCTTCTTCAGCTCAGATTTGGCCTCTAGTGCGTTTCGTATTTCTCAATTGCAGAAATCGCTCGTCCATCTCTTGAAACCTTTGAACATCTTCCTGCCTTTGAAGATTATTGCGGTGTTCCATCTCCTCTATCAGCCTTAAGATTGCATTGAATGTAGTCTGCGCAAGACAGGTATCTGGATCTGCAAGTGGAGGCTGATGAGGCGCTGTTTGATTTTGGAGATTCACGACTGGAGCAGGCGTGGAGGCTGTATCCGAGACATATTCGCTTACATGCACCGCATCATAATCTAGTGTAGCTTCACATTCGGGATGATTATGAGGTTAATCCAACTCTACTAGATTAGACTTTGACGATAGATTATGTTGTGGCGGTAGGTGGCTGCTATTCCTTGTATGAACCATTCTTAGCTGTGAGAATAAAATTTATTTGTTCCCCACAGACAGTGCCAATATTTTGTCCCGAAGATAGAGATGTCTAGCCCAAAGGACTAGTGAATTTATCTTGGATCTAGGTGTTCTTTCTAAGGTATCTATGAATTAGATACCCTTGAGTATAGCAGATCATTGTGTACAAGTAAATAACAGCTTTCGCCAAATGGATGATATGTGTGCACAGTGACAACATAACAATAAATAGAGAGAGAATGAATCATACCTGTAGGCTTCACCTCTTATTTATAGAGTTTACATGTGGGTATGAGAATTCTGGACCTTTTGTGCCTCCCCTAGAAGCCCAAGCCCAAGTCTTATGCTGTCATATTAGGGTTAATATCTTGGATTAATATTCTCCTTTGATTATCTCAGATTTTTATTTGGATTACCTCTTATTGGGCAATACACTAAATGAGTCTCATATTCTCATATATGAGTCTATAACACTTTTTTTGCAATTTTTTTTCTTTGCCATATTCACATAAAAATAAGTGGATTCCATTTTAAAAAGGAGAAAGAGAATAAATTAATGGGATCTTTTTATTTTTATGTGAGTGTGACATAAAATAATTAGTACAATAAAAATAGAAATGTTAAACCTTATTTATAAATAAAATTATCTGTAGCATGTAGATGAGAGATTTTAAATGAAAGTCAAATGATTCTACAATAGAATATTAGATCATATCCTTTAGGGGGCATTTGGCTGAGGAGAAATTTTTATGAATCATAGGAAAATGTGATTAGTAGGAAAATGGTTGGGAAGTGAGTTTGGTAGGAAAATGTAAAAATAGTTGTTTGGTTGGAAAAAAATTTACTGGAAAAATTAGGTAACTTTTATAAATTCTATGCTTGGTTTTTGGTAAAATATAGATGGAAAAAATGTGCTATTGCGAAAATAACCTTGTTTTTCAAAAATGAATCAGTTATAAAAACGGCCGTGAATTAAAACGAATAGCTAAGGTATTCAAATCATGTTTGTTTTTTTCTTTATAAAAAAAGAAAAAAAGAAAAAAAGAAAGATGAATTACATATAGTAATACATGGACAGAAACAAAAGATGGTGTTTGCTAAAATAATAATAAATTATTTGTCTTTTATAAGAATCAAAACTAGATGGCAACATTACAATATTAAAATATTAAAATATTGAAGTACGCTCGTAACAGAGGGAGTTGGTCTTTTGCTTATTACACCCACTAAACCAAATACACATACACAGCTAACCACATATGAAAAGGGTTTTTTTGTCCGGCAATCTCTTCTCAAAATGATAGACAAAATGGTTTGCTAGCATACTCATTTAGATAGATAAATTTAGAACCTCTTTCAACCAAACATGAGCACCCAATTTCTCCACTTCACATTTGCCTATCAATGTCCTCAAAAACCTCTCACAAACACACCCTTACTATTATAGTTGTTTGCTTATGTAGTCCATTACTAGTAGAAGCTATGAACCCATTGCATGGGTCGAGAATAACATGATAAATATTTTAAAATGTAATTGCAAATAATCATTCATTATATTAACGTTTACAATTGCAAATAAATAAAATTTAAAATAGTTAAATATAGTGCTAGTCTGGCGTCAAATAACAAATTATCAAAAGTTCTTCGTCATGCACATTAATTTACCTTTTAATTGGATCGGGTTACGAGCGCACTTCATATCTGACACGTGATATTTAAATTTTTTACATTAATGTTAAATAAATGATGGCTTTTAAGCCATGTTTTATATTTCCCATTCAAAGAGAAGTTATTTTTATCGTGACAGTTCAGTTGGTATATAAGTGAGGTAAAAGTGTATTTTCAATTATTTCTAATATTATTTTTAGAAAAAATTTAAAATCTTAATTTTTGATATTCCCTAAATAGAATTGCCTCTTATTATTGTCTAAATTAAAGTACTTTTTATATATTATGTATGAGCAATACTTTTCTCATGTTATAGAAGAAAATATGGTCTCTGACTCTCTCGTAAAAATAAATTGATTTGGAATCCACTATTTAAAAAAATAGAAATATTAGTTTCATTTTATCTATTTTTTTTCTTCTTATCATTGCCTATCATTTTAACAGATCATTAAATCAGAATTTTAATTAACATTTATTTTTTTTTCTCCTTAGATTCTAATTTAACGATATTGAAGGGTGATAGAAAGCTAGACAGAAAAAAATAGATAAAATAATTTATCCCATATTATAAATATAAAATATGTGGAGTTCACTTATTTATTTATTTATTTTTTTTAAAAATAGGTTACACATATTTTATATCTATGATATGAAATATTAATTTTTAGAACATAGATTAATATTTCCCTAAGAAAAAAAGGGGGACGAATAAGATTTATAGGAGGAAATTAGTTTCTCCCAATGCAACAGAAACTAATTCATGTATTGCTACAAATTTAAAAAAGTGATAAAAAGAGTTCACCTGTGGTCTGCACATTGATGCTGACCAATGAACAGGAAAGCTTGCAGATGGATCAAAACACGCAAAGTTTAAAAAAAGGTGAAAGAAAAAACAAAACCAATTAAATAAGCAAAGATAGTACGATTTAAGATAAGATAATGGACATTAATTAAATTAAACCCTAGCTAAGCATGCAGTTGGAGGACCAATAAGGAGGGAGATATTATAAAAATAAAAATAGTAACATTTCAAAAGGATTCAACCATCATTATTTTTGTGAAAAAAATATAAGAGTGAGAATATTGCGTGCTCTTTTTGAAAAATCAACAAATCAATAATCAATAATATTTATGAATATAAATATAAAATATTAATAAGGTGATGAGTTGAAAAGAAAAGAAAAGAATAGAAAGGAAAGGAAAGGAAACCATTGAGGGTGAAAAATGGCGTTGTTTGAGATGCGAGCCTACTCCAGTATAAAGGGAACCTTCTCCGTACTTCTTCTCTTTCTGCTTTTCGTTCTAGTTCTTCCCATCATTTAAAGTTTCTTCCTTCCTTCCTTCACCGTTTTCTCTTCTCTCATCTTCTTCTTCTTCTTCTTCTTCTTGAGGTATTCAAAGACTTCATCTTTTAGTTCAAAACTAAAAGATAAACTTGTTTTCTATTAAGGGTCTTCGTTCTTTTGTGATTTTATCTGGTGGGGTAATGCTTGAATCGGTTCCACAATGCAATCTTGATGATTTAGGGATCGGTTAGTTTTGTGGGGTCATTACCATTTGAAAGTTTCGTGCTTTTCTTGCAGGGTCTGGGGAAAATTTCTTGTTCTTTGTTGTGATATTTGAAACATTGTGTCGTTGTTCTAATTGCTGTTTTGGTAGGAATTCGGTGTAAATAGTGCTAGATTGGTGAGTCCTAGATTTTCGTGTCGCATCTCCTCCTTTGATATTATTTGATTCCCAGGAGGATTTGCAATCGCCAAAAAGGAAGAGAAAAAAAAAAAAAGATAAAACAAAAAACAAAATAATTTATTATTTGATGTATACAATCCCAGTCACCACCCCCCCAATTTTAGTGTGGGTTTTACCAATACTCTTCACTTGATTTTTTTATTTTTAGACAATTTTAGTGATCAGTATTCTGGTGCCAAAGGGTAGATTTTTGTTTTTGTTTTTGGTTTCTTCTGGCTGAGTTATCTGTTGGGTGGTCATTGCATCTTATATGGGAATACCTGATAGTTTACCACTAGATCTAATAAAAAAGGTTAAGTCTTGGATTTCTTGGGGAGGAAGTGATTTGCGTTGTTTGTCTGACAAACTTGATATGCTCAATAGTGGCTGCAAAATGTGTTGTGAGTGTAACAAAAATTTCAATGAAATGACTCAGTACAAATACAATTGTAAAAGCTGTGGCTGTTGGTTGTGTGTGAAATGTGTCCGAGTTTGTGATCTCCAAAATCTTGAATCTGACAACACTAGATTAAGGGAAACCATCCCTTCTTGCAAGTTCTGTTTAGAGGGTCCGAGGAAATGTAGTGAGAAAGTTCATCCTTCAGCCTCTCCACTAGAGAGTCCAAGACAAAGTCCTGAGCCCCCTTCACCTTGTTTTAGTGTTGAAAGTGAAAGAATCAGTTCTCCACCTATAACTGAATTGAATCAGGGAAGCCACTTTGAACGCTATTTTGATTACCAAGATTATGGATATTATCCTTATTCCTTGATCAACAGAAGTATGGCCTCGTCTGGTACTCACCCTTCTTCAGTATCTACTGATCCATCTATCTTAAGGTAATCATAGTTTCATCTTTATTACAGGAAGTTACACGGTTTTATTTTTTATTCTGGAAATTCGTAAAAAAATTCTTGCATATCTGATATGTTATGGAAATGGTGTGCTATGTTCTGTGACAACTGAAAGGGTAAATTTTTATTGGCATTTTAATTTCTGAAAATATGTTCTCATATATATATATGTGTGTGTGTGTGTTTTCTCATAATAGGTAGTGAACAAATGATGTTTTTAATTATCTGAAACTCAAAGTGACTTGCATAATTCAACTAATCTCCCTTCCCAAAATCTCCTCTGTACATGCATTATTGATATTTTGTATATAAATGTAGGAGCGATGAAGAAGGGACTGAGGATATTGAGAAGCACTCTCTCAGCCCATCACGTACATATTGTGATAATTGTTCAGATATAGATTCAATTAGCGTTAGTGCTAGTCATAACATTTACAACTATAATTCTGTGGGATCAAGCCCTTCAGAGAGCCCCTCTAGGATTAGTTTTACTTCTAGTAGGGCTGGGCTTCATGTACAGAAGGGGCAGGAGAAAAGCCTCATCTCTCAGTCTGATGATCCCTTTGGTCAACAAAGTGTGGCTGTTTTAAGAAAGCCTGAACAAGGGACCGAGGATGCAGAAAATACTGCTTATTTTTCTGATGACTTGTCAATTTTCCGGAACCAGAATGAGAATTCACAGAGGCCATTGGATTTTGAGAACAATGGCCTTATTTGGTTCCCCCCACCACCTGATGATGAAAATGATGATGCAGAAGGTAATTTCCTTGCATATGATGATGAGGATGATGATATTGGTGACTCAGGTGCCATGTTCTCATCCAGTAGCAGTCTATCTAATATATTTCGTGCAAGGGAGAAACATAATGAGGGAAACAAGGAACCTTTGAAAGCTACCATACAGGGGTATTTTAGAGCTCTTGTTTCGCAGCTTTTTCAAGATGCAGGAATTAAAGTTGGTAAGGAAAATGATTCTGAGGACTGGTTTGACATAGTTACAACAATAGCATGGCAGGCTGGTAACTTTGTGAGACCAGATACTAGCAAAGGTGACAGTATGGATCCTGGTGATTATGTAAAGGTAAAATGTATAGCATCTGGAAGCCCAAGTGAGAGGTAATATGTTTTCCAATTTTTCCTATATACCTTGCAGATTACCACCATGTCCCTAGCCATTTCTATGTGATTAAGCATTAAATTTTATGGACTCATGTTTTGCAGCACCCTTATCAAAGGAGTAGTTTGTACAAAAAATATTACGCATAAGCGCATGATGTCTCAATACGAAAAGCCTAGGTTACTCCTTTTAGGAGGAGCACTGGAATATCAGAAAGCTCCAAATCAACTAGCTTCTATTGATAAATTGTTGCAGCAGGTGCCTTCATGATTCACCTATTGGTTATGTGTCTTTCAGTTAAGTTTGTTTTTTCTTTGAAAGAATTTCTGAATTGTAAATGCTGGCAGGAAAATGAACATTTGAAGATGATAATTTCAAAAATTGAGGCTCTTCGACCAAATGTTTTACTGGTAGAAAAAAGTGTAGCTTCATTTGCCCAGACATATTTGCTGGAAAAGGAAATCTCCTTGGTGTTGAATGTTAAAAGGCCTTTGTTAGAGCGTATAGCTCGCTGCACTGGTGCTCTTATCATTTCATCAGTGGATAATTTATCAAAAGCACGATTGGGGCACTGTGAAATGTTCCGATTAGACAGAATGGTGGAAGAGCATGAGACTGCTAATCATTTCAACAAGAAGCCATCTAAAACGTTAATGTTTTTTGAAGGTTGTCCGCGGCGTTTGAGTTGCACGGTAATTTCCTTTTTCTTGTATTTTCTTCTGTACTTTCTGTTACGTGCTTGTTTTTGTGTAAGCTATGGATGTGTGCCGTGGAGTCTGTTTCTTATTTTTAGTCTTGTTGTAGGTCTTACTGAAGGGCAAATGCCACGCAGAACTAAAGAAAATCAAAGAGGTCATGCAGTATGCAGTTTTTGCAGCCTATCATTTATCGCATGAGACATCATTCCTTGCGGATGAGGGTGCTACCCTACCTAAAATGATAGTAAAAGACTCAACTGACATGCCAATTAGTGCAAGAGCTGATGCTGATATTTGTATGACATCTAACACCCTTCCGTCAACCATGTGCCAATCAGAGGCTGATGATGCTTCTAAAGTGGAGGACTTTGTTGGTCATGATTTAAAGCATGAAAATTTGGGATCAGCATCAGAAAATTTTGATGACCTAAGTGTTGAGAATGTACCCTCTGATTCATATTATAGCAATATAACTTCTAATTTGACTGTAGAATCAGATTATTTGCATCAGTGTAATGAATCAGCAGGGGGCACTATATCTAGTACGAGAGACCTTTTGCAAGCAGATTTACAAGAAACCACAGTCCAAGAGGGGGAGTGTGGTGAAGTTGCTGACTCAACAAAAGACAAGATTAGCGAGGATGAGTTTTCTGGTAAATACTTTTCTGCCACTGATGGTCATCCGAGCATATTGGTGTACTTTTCCAGTCATTGTGTATCGAAAGGAAGTGTATGTGAACGCACTAGGTTGCTGCGCATAAAATTCTATAGCTCTTTTGATAAGCCACTTGGGAGATATCTTCGGAATGATCTGTTTGGTCAGGTAAGTTGTGTTTATTTTTCTGTGTTTGCTGGTACCAGTTAATTCTGAAGTGAAATGATTAGAATTGTTTTTTTCCAGACATCTTGCTGTCAGTCTTGTAAAGAGCCACCAGAGGCTCATGTCCTTTGTTTTACACACTTGCAAGGAAATCTTACAGTCAATGTTAGGCGCCTTCCCTCTGTGAAGCTACCAGGGGAAAGCGATGGCAAGATTTGGATGTGGCACCGGTGTCTGAAGTGTCCTCTTGTGGATGGAGTTCCATCAGCAACTCGGAGAGTTGTTATGTCGGATGCTGCCTGGGGATTGTCTTTTGGAAAGTTCTTGGAACTTAGCTTTTCAAACCATGCAACTGCAAATCGAGTTGCAACCTGTGGACATTCTTTGCAGAGGGATTGCCTCCGTTTTTATGGGTAAATCATCCAGACAAGGAATCACTAATTGATTATTCTGTTTATTTATGCAGTTTTTGTTGTTTCTTGATACTTGAAATGGTGATAAACAACCTGATGTAAACAGGTTTGGGAACATGGTTGCTTTCTTCCGGTATTCCCTTATTGATATTCTTTCTGTCCATCTTCCTCCATCTATGCTGGAATTTGGCCACATCCAACAGGAGTGGATTAGAAAGGAGGCAGGAGAGGTGATATTAGAAAACTACTATCAATATTTGCTTGAACATTTTAAAAGTGGTGTTGAACAATATAGAGTCTAGATTGATTGTAAATTTGTGTTTATCTACTCCTTATTATCAAAATTTTAACTCCCCCCTTCTTTTTTGTGCAGCTTTTTAGTAAAGTGGAAACCTTGTATGTGGAGATATCAGATGTGCTTGAACGCTTTGAAAAAAAGATTGTATCTCCTGGTATTGGAAATGAGCTGTCAGATACCTCTGACATTTATATCCACATAACAGATCTGAAAGATATGCTTCGAAGAGGAAGAACTGATTATCATGTGAGCAAACTAATTTATATCTGGTGTCAATTTATCATTGTTATATTAGGATACTTGGTTTATTGAACCTCGTAAGTGTGCAAGTGTTGTATGTGTATTCGTATTCTGACATTTCACTTATGAATATACTTGAATCTAACTTCCTGTTCTGTTTCCCTTTTAATTATGCGTGTGTATAGCGTTTGTTAAAATCAGCCACAGAGACCCCACAACCACAGAAGATGGCTTTAGACATTCTGGAACTAAATCGCTTGAGACTTTCACTTCTAATTTGTTCACATGTTTGGGATAACCGGCTATGCTCATTGGACTCTTTTAGTAAAAGATGCTTAAGTTCCAAGTTTAAAGAAGAAAAAGAATTAGGTACGGATGTTAAAGAATTAAGTGTTGACTCATTTCATAAGGATCAGAATCTTGACTGTGGGCTTGAGCAAAATTATTCTCAGCCTTCAAAATTGGACGAGTCTCATGAAAGTCATATGCGTGCAGAGCCGGATGACCCACTTGAACCTTGTGCTTCTGAAGCATTTACATGTCATCTTGATGGAGAGGAAGTACATTCAAGTGGTGAATTTGTTGCCAACCAAACAGTATCTGAGGAATCCAATCTTTCTGAGAAAATAGATTCTGCATGGACCGGAACTGATCAACCTCCGTTGAATGTTGAACCACTTCATAAATTTCAAACCAATGTTAGTGGTAATTCTCCTTTGAGAATGTTGACACAACCAATGAGAGTTCATTCTTTTGATTCAGCATTAAGAGTTCAGGAAAGAATTAGGGAGGTCTTGCCCTCGTTTTTGACACTTAAATCTTTTCATGCTTCTGGAGATTACAGGAATATGGTTAGAGACCATGTACCTAATTTGCAAACTCACTTTGAAATGTTTCCATGGGAGGTACAAAATCTAAATCTGATTCTGGGATCCACGCCATCGTTCATTTCCTCCGTGCCTCGCATAGCTGAAGGTGCTCGGTTGCTGCTTCCCCAAAACCGTCAGAGTGATAGAGTCATTGCTGTTTATGACAATGATTTCTGTAGCATAATTTCATATGCCCTTAGTTCCAAGAAATACGAAGATTGGGTTTCTGGGAAGTCAGAACTACATGAAGGGGGCTGGAGAGAGAGAAACAAAGAAGATTTAGGCACGTCAAGCTTTTCGGCGTGGGGTGCTCTGGACTTGGATTTTATCAATTATGTTAGTTATAGATCTGAAGATGCTACACCTTCTATTGGTTCTCTTCTTAGTAGGGACTCCAAAAAATCTTTACACTTACAAATTTCTTTTGGAGATGATTCTTTGGGTGCTGGAGGTAAAGTGAATTTTTCTGTCACTTGCTATTTTGCAAAGCAGTTTGAATCACTTAGAAGAAAGTGCTGTCCCCATGAAGTCGATTTTGTGCGATCCTTGAGCCGTGGCCAGAGATGGAGCGCACAAGGAGGCAAAAGTAATGTGTATTTTGCCAAGTCATGGGATGAGAGGTTTATTATTAAACAAGTGACTAGGACAGAATTGGATTCCTTTGAAGAATTTGCACCTCAGTATTTCACATACCTGATGGATTCCTTGAACTCAGGAGGCCCAACTTGCCTTGCCAAAATTCTTGGTATATATCAGGTGAGAACTCATTCTTTGGCTTTGTATACAAGCTTCAGACTGCTCTTGATAAATGTTAAGTTTAATGTTTATAATTAATATATCTTGTTTGGTGACAGGTGAATATCAAATACCCAAAAGGTGGAAAGGAGACAAAAGTTGACCTGATGGTAATGGAGAATCTCTTTTATAACAGAAAAATATCCAGGATATATGATCTCAAGGGCTCAGAAAGATCTAGGTACAATGCGGATACAACAGGGACAAACAAAGTAATGTTAGACCTGAATTTGTTAGAAACTTTGAGGACAAAACCTATATTCCTTGGGAGTAGGGCTAAGAGAAGACTCGAGAGAGCTGTTTGGAATGACACATCCTTTTTGGCGGTAAGCTTTATTTTGGTTACATAACTCAATTCTGATACCACATATGATTTCACTTGTTACTCTGATACAAATGTTTTTAACTTGCCATTTTAACATTCATATTCATGGTTTTACCACTTATTTAAATTGTAGAAATTGCCTGTTTTGTAAGGTGGTTACTCACTGGCTTTCATTTTGGTTCAGTCTGTTGATGTAATGGATTATTCATTGCTGGTGGGGGTGGATGATGAGCGCAAGGAGCTTGTTTTGGGGATCATTGATTACATGAGACAATACACCTGGGACAAGCATTTGGAGACATGGGTTAAGCAATCTGGGATACTTGGGGGTCCTAAAAATGCTGCCCCAACAATTATTTCTCCTAAACAATACAAGAAAAGGTTCAGGAAGGCTATGACAACCTACTTTCTCACCTTACCTGATAAGTGGTCATCCTGAAATTTTTATAATTGTATTCTTTTCTCAACATTCTGTGGCAAGGAAAGCCCTTCATAATAGTTGCCTATCCATGTTGGATAGTCCTTGGATATTTTGGATACAACTAGTTGTATTTTACTTCTAAAAAGAAAAATTATATCAATACAAATGGGAATATTACCATTTTTTAATAAAAAATATTTCCATCACATCCAATGGTTAATGTTAACTTTTAATGCATTCTTTGTTTCTTTTAATTTGACATTTGTGTTCCTGTGTTCATTTTGTATATTATATTATAGTCTATTGTATTTTATAACATAATATTATGATAAGATTAAAATGTATTTTAAAATTATTTAAGCTTTGCTTTGATTGGCCATAAGATGGCGTTCTTTGAATGATAGAGAGTTGCCTCACGGCTTACGGAAGCTTGTGCTTTTTCCTGGAATATAACAGGTTGTGAACTTTTTGGCACATGTTTAGATGGAAAAGTGAGGAAATTTGCTTGATAAGAGAGGTTTTCGACTTTTCTACATGTGCAGGCCATGTTTTGAGAGCTTACTAAATTGACTTGCACATGAAAGCGTACTATTTGGACGGCATTTTTTGGATTATTTTCTATTTTTTCCGCACATAAGAAATAGTCAACAATAGATGCTTTGCATTGTGACATGAGAGAGCCATTTGTCAGCTAAGATACAAAGGAAATGCACTATTTTATTTTAAGGAAATTATTTTCTTATGTAATAGGAGATAATTTTTTCATGTTATGAGATATCAAAATTTGTGCTATTCTTTTTGTTTTAACTAGTGATGAGCTTTATCACTTGCTATATCTATAGCATGAGAGATATTATTTCATGACATGAGAAAAGAGAAATTCTTTATTTTATTGGGTTAAAATTTAGGAAAGAGCATTAAAAGAAAGGGTAAATCTACCATCATGTAACATAATCTAAAACATTTTTTCTACTCAAACAAAAATCATGTGGGTCCTATACATATAATAAAAACAAAAAATAAAAAATGCTGTTGTGGAAACCAATGTGTGAGTAGGTAACAAATTTTATATTATGTTACATAATATTAGCTTTCCCCTAAAAGAAAATATTTAAAACTAAAACAGTCAACAAGAATAATTAGTCAACAATAGATGCTTTGCATAGTGACATCAGAAAGCCATTAGTCAGCGAAGATACAAATGAAATGTACTCTTTTATTTTTTTGGGTTAGAATTTAGGAAAGTATATATTAAAAAAAAATATTTAAAACTAAAATAGAGAATATGCATAGTTAAGTAAAAAGAAATTTAAGATTTTTAATAAATAAAATTAAGAATAACACATTTTTATTTGAGGGAAAGTATAATAAAAAACTAAACCACTTTTAAATAAATAGATAAATAAATAAAGAGTAAAGTATTTTTCACTGAAAATAAGTTATCTTCCGACCCTTAAAATTACGTCGTTTTGAATTAATGAAGGATGTTTCTATAATTTTATTTTTTTTATCATATAAATTTTACTGAAACACTATTCATTAATTCCACTAAAATTATGAAAACACCATTCATTAATTCAAAACAATGTAGCTTTGGGCGTCTCTGGATATAACTGATATCCAGTGACTGAAGAAATACTTTACCCACACACACATATATTTGGATTTCTCTATCGGTTATCCGACTAATCCAATTCGAATTAGGAAGGATCACAATAGCGTCAAAGCTCTTGCTATCAAGATTTTAACACAATTATATGTCCAATAATCGAACTCGAAATACTGATTAATATGAAATAATTCCTTATCAATTGATCCACATGCTTGATGATCATATAAATATACTAAAATTTAATAGAAAATGGAAGATATTAACTTAAACCTTATTTTATGCTTCATCAATTTCATAAACCAAATTCAACCATGGTTCACGGATTAGTATAATTTTATTATATCACGGTCCGTTGGTGGTTGTAATCTTACTAATGTATTATATCAATATCTTACCTAATACATTCAAAAGCTATTAGCTTTTGAGGTGAAGGTATTTCTCAATGCAATCACTCAATTAGGAGGTGATTCAGTCCACATTCTATGACCAGTATTATTAGCATGCTTTGCAAGTCAATCAGCCACCAAGTTACACTTTTTAAAAACAGAATGACAGGAGAAACTTGAAAACCAAGAAGCATAAAAAAAAACTTCACCAATAGTTACAATAAAATAAACATAATAATTTAAAATTAATAGTGCGTAACCAACCTTCAAGTTCAACATTAATATCAGTAGTAACAATTTTATAAGTAACAATATTGCAGTCAAGGAAAGTTGGTTCACTTCATTACCACACAAAAAAAAGTTGGTTCACTTGATATTTCTTTTGTCCCTAACAAACACATAACTTGAGTTTAAATTTAAGAGTCTCCTATTCATGACTACCATTTAGCTTAGGGATTTGCCTTGACCCTAAATTGCGACTATAATTCCCCCACTCTTAATTTTTTTCCAAAAATCTTTATTTCAATTACGAGAAAAAGGGAATTATTGATGCCGAAAGTGCAGAGAAAAGGTGGCACAACATAAGTTAGGGAGTGCATGACAACCTTCCCATAATTAGTTTATTTTTTTTCAATTTTTATTCCCGGGAGCAGAAATGGATAGAAACAGTGTTTGACACAACCAGTTTATTTTTTTGTTCTCGAAAATGAACCGGATCAATTTCTATGCTAGGGAACAAAAAAAAGAATCAATTTTTTTTTTTATGTTCCCGGTCACAAAATGAAAAACACTTGTCTCTTTCAATCACTCTCCACCACTACCATTATTACCACTATCACCACCATCCTGATACGACCACCGCCACTATCGTCGTCTCCGTCGTCACCCAGATGTCATCGCCACCATCACAATCACCACCACCACCACCTCCACGCCACCGCTACCATCACAACCACAATGCCACCATCACAACCACAACGCCACGATTACCACAACTATCACCGCAGTCACTGTCATCACCACCACCACCACCACGATTACCATCACCGCGCCATCACCACTACCGCTACTACCATCGCCACCACCATCATCGCTGCCACTGTTGTCACCACCACTACCATCTCCATGCCACCACTACCACCTCCGCTGCCACCTCCATCGTCGCAGCCACTACCATCACCACCACCATACCACATCAATCGCGACCATTTCCACCACCGCTACAACAATCGCCACTATGCCATCACCACCACCATCACACCATATGAAAAGGAAAATGGTAATCTAAATTTTTTTATGCTTAATAAGAATAATTTTTTATTCATTGATTTGTTCTGTTGTCAAACACAATTATCATTCTCATAATAAAAATAGAACATGTTATAAAACACTTTTCTTTTCTCATAAACTGTTCCAAAGCATAGAAATAAAAAAGAATTGTTTCTTTTCAGAAACAGTGCCAAGAAATAGTATGGTTGTCATGCACACTCTTAAGATATGATAAAAGAGTAATCATCTGGTTCTCAATTTTTATTATCAAAATAATAAAATTCAACTCATACAACAAGGGTCTTCAGCACCATTTTATAAACTAACTACAAATTAATTCAAAATCTAAAATCCTAAAAATAGATATATTGATAAACTACCTTCTAAAAATAAATAAATAAATGAATAATTATAACTAAATTATTCAAAACACATCCCAAATCTTAGATATCAAATAATGTCAAATTAATTGTTTTCCTCTTCTTGCTAAACAAATCACAATCATATTTAATGCTTCATCTGGACTTGGAGTTAATAGCAATTTGTTATATTTCAAATTATTGTTTCTTTTAACAATTGAGCATACTTATTGGGCTACAATTCTGGTGGACTCCAAGCTTCTCGAATCAATGGTTGGACCATGTGCAATTGGTCAACTGTAAGTGCATCATCCTTCCCTACTAGGAAAATATTCATACTCGAATCTTCTTCATCTTGACTGATATCAATCTCTTTAGGTAAAACTCAATTAATAATTCTTCCTCTATTATATCATCATCATCAAATTCTCAACTAGATTTATCATAGACTGGATTATTATCATAAACCAAATTTTTATCATAAGATGGATGATTATCATAAATCGAATAATCATCATAAACTGTATTATCATCATAGACATCAAAGTCATGAATGTTGATTTGCATCTTGATATCTTGAGAAATGGATTGATTTTTAGGTGATACTTCCCAATTCTGTCCATGGTTTAGAATCCCCAAGGGATTAACGTCCTCTTCTTCGTCATCATATGCGTCCTTTAATTCCCTTCCTTCTTCGAATTGAATTCTCGACTTTGTATACGCAAGTCGTCGCCCAAAATCTGGGATTTTCATGTTCCGCTCCTCCACAAGTTGTCACTCCAAAACTTTAATTTTCTCGATATGTGCTCGCACGAGTCATGCCCCAAATCTTGGATTTTCTTGCTCTGCGCCCGCACAAGTAGCCGCTACACAACTTGAATTTTTTTCTCCAACGCATGCTCAAGTTGTCGCTTCAAATCCTGGATCCGCCTTTTGAGCTCTTCATTTTCTAAGTCTTGCGGGTCTATCTGACGCGGTTGTCTGTCTTCTTAAGAAATGAATCCATGTCCCTTGCTTTCACAACTTCGCTATCCACGACCTCTATGATTATGTTCAGCCTTTGGTTAAAGGCAACCTAGTGCTCTGATACCAAATGATGTCAAAGTGCATAGAAAGTGTGGCATAACAGAAAGTTATGATACAATAAAATAGTAACACTCCAGTTCTCAATTTTTATTATCAAAATAACAAAATCTAACTCCTATGACAAGGGTCTTAAACACCATTTTACATACTAATTACAAATTAATTTAAAATTTAAAATCCTAAAAATAAGAAAATTCCCTAAAAATAAATATAACGATAACTACTTTCTAAAAATATATAGATAAATGAATAGTTACAACTAAATTATTCAAAACACGTCACAAATCTTAGATATCAAATCATGCCGAATTAGTTGCTTTCCTTTTCCTTCCAAACAAATCACAATCATATATGCGGCTTCATTTGGATTTGGATTTGATCGCAATTTGTTATATTTCAAATTGCTATTTCTTCTAACAAGTGAACCATATTTATTGGGTCACAATTCTGATTGACTCCAAACTTATTGAATCAATAGTTGGACCATGTACAATTGGTCAAATGTAAGTGGATCAATTAGATACTCTTTAAACTTTCTATTTTTAAAAACAAATAGAACATTTTTATTGGCTCGAGAGAAACTAATTCATTATGCCGAACACAACAACCAAACCATTTGTAATATGGAACTTCTTTAAAAAAATCCAAACCTCTTAGAAAATAATACTTTCAACGACTGAGATTTTATTTAAAATTGATTAAATAATATTATAAATTTAATCTAATAAAGAATTTTATTAGCTTAAAATATTAAGGTTAAAAGCTTGATGACGGTGAACCCAAAAAAAAAAAAAAAAAAAAAAAACTTAATCTTGCGGACCATTTCGATGAATTGGGGATAATAATTTAAGAAATTTTGACCATTCAAAATATTTATACAATCTGAGTCTGCTACCCTCGAGACCTACCTCCGTGGTATCTGAATTTCTATCTTGTATGTATCATCGTCAAGAATTTTTTTTGAGAGGGGCGAAGGGTCACACATCTCAGGTAAATAATGGAACAGTGGGTTATAGTACATATTCAAATTTGGACAAAAATTTCAAAATTTCTTCCTATACAAAGAATGGTAAGAATGAAAATTGGAAGATTAAATTTGATCGAGGAGGGTGAACTTATATTATATTATCATTCTCTTAAGTCTGAATGGGATTAAGACAAAGGTTTGTATGAACTTAGGAGCGCGATCGTCCTCCCTAACCCCTCTCTAATTCCACCACTATTCATCGTTCATATTCATAGCTTATTAAACATTCACATATGAACATTCATAACTTGTTCCATGGTCGAGTTCTGATTGAGGGATCGTATGCTTGTAATTTACCATGCTTTCCTTGTTACCTTTTGCGACTAATTCTTATTCCAACTTCAAAACTGGTAGGTTATCATAAACAATCAACTGGGAGAAGCACAAGATATAATTGAAAAATTAATTATCAAGTGAATCATACATAATGTGTCTTTCTATATAAGGGTACAGATATCATTTTAGGAGTTATGCTATTTATACAACACATAGGATAACAATTAGTCACAAGTCGCAACAGGTGTCTGCGCCAAAGAGCAATTAATTTTACTAAAGATTCTATTCTATGAAACAAATTAAATATAGATACAAATATCCAACTGTAACCATTGTGATCCTAAGTATAATATAACTCTTATTAAACCAAGCGTAACAAAAGCTCCTTCGTTTGGTGATATATTCGCCAGGCTAACAGCATCCCTGTGGATTCAATGTTTGGCTTCATGCTTAATGTGATATAACATATAAGTGGTCACGAAGCCACAGCTACTTGAATCCCTCCTTCGGTGATTGGCATAAAACTCACCCTCTTCTGCAAATTCAACACACTCAATTTAGTTACACCCCATATTCATACTCATAAGTAATAAACTCAGTCACACAAAGTATGAAATTTTATGAAAGTAAGAAGTTATAAAAAAGAGAGGACAAAGAGCAATATTGTCACAGAAAATTTTAAATTTTCACACCGTTTATATGACACAATTGTTTAATGCAACGTGACTTACAAAAGTTTCAATGAATGCTCTAGATGGGACTTAAAAGAATATGTTTACATAAAATCCAAACAGAATTCACCAGAGTTACGGAATCGATTTTCATGATTACATTTTTTAGTGAAATTAAATTAGCACAAAGTAGAACTTAAAAAATGGATCTATGAAATATTCATGCTTCAAGCACAACAACCTTTTGGATTGAAATTTGGGTTGAATTGATTCTTTATAAAATAAAAAAATAAAAAATCCATGACCATAAAAGTTATCTAATTTTAAGAAAAACCAACCTCGCGTCGTGCCTTTGTACTATCCTTAACTCTGTCTCTACCACCCTTGCAATGCATTTGTTGGTCGAACACCATCTTCTTTTCACCATTTTCCTCAGTTTTATTCTCACTTTCTCTGCTTCCATTAGCCATATATAAACGCATGATCCTGTCTGCAGCCTCAGCCTCATCTTTGCAGTCTTGGATCAACTTCTCCACCTCTGCCTTTGGAAGCCTCATTTTCAACCTCACCCCACCATTCTCCTTTTCTTGTTCATCACCACCACAACCATCCATGTTGTTGCTTTGTTTCATGATTGAAAGATCAGAAACAGACCTCCTAGTAAGCATTAGGTTCTCGAGGCGATCTTTGGCACTCATGTTAATGCCAGAGCGAACCCTTCTTGGTTTTGTCTCTTTGGGAAGCTCCACAAGAAAATAAAGCCTCTTTGGTAGCAATTGTTTATGTGCTTCCAAAGGCTTTGCTCTTGTTCCATAGTGCTTTACTGCCTCAGATTCTAGCAAAACAAGACCTGGATGATCCTTAAGCACATCGCCAACTTTCACTGGTGTCTTCAGCTTGAATGTTTCACCATCGATTTTCATGACCTTTGTGGTCTTCTTTGAACCAAAGGCGTTACCCATTAGAACCCCAAGTAACTATGATTTGTCTTTGGTTTTTAGTTTTGTGAGTTTGAGGCACCAAAGAGCATTGAAAATAGCCCTTCAACAAGGTTGATAAAAAAGAAACAATTTTTCGTTCCGGGTAATCCTCACAAACCACCAAAGGGCTCGAAGTGCTAATGCTCACATGTGAATTGGTGGGGGCAAGATTTTATACTTGTTCCTGATTTTGGGGCGTCCTTGGTCAACAAAGAAGGCAAGTTTTAAAAACGAGACAAATTTTTGACTGAAATACCTAAACAGAAAACAATAAACAACGTAGCATTTCGCTCTCAAAAGAACAAAAAAACATAAATAACCAACGACTCTATTTGTCTCTTAAAGGCCTTGTGAGTTGTGACCCTGTATATCTTCTGAGTTTAATTTTCTTTTTCAACAACCATGTTTCAATATTTTACACAAGGCCCCAATGGCGATATTTTTTTAAAAAACTCTAACAGAGTGGACTTTGTGTTTTTTTAAGGATGAAGTGTTTAGTTTTCTGATATTTTCGAAGACGTGACTAACGGCAATCGCGGCGTGGTTTCAAGGATACATGAATTCAAAGCCGGGCAATTTTCGCATGTGATTTTGAGATTTATTTTGACTTTGGTTTGTTCGTATACGTGGAACAAGTACTTGATTTCATCATCAAGGCATTCCTTTTCGTAGTTATTAATTGAAATGTGATTTCCGTTCAAGTGGAAAATTTCTTAGTTACTATTCACTTGTGTACATCTTTTTTTTTTTTCCGAGAAAAGATGCACTTATTATCTCTTATTCTTATTATTAAATTTTATCCTATGATTTCTGTCAATTTAATGGGTAAAGAATTTCTTCAGTCATGGGAGATAAAGTTATTTCCAGTGAGCTCAAAATAACGTTGTTTTAGGGCAGAAATCAAGATATTTTTGTAATTATAATATATTGCAGGGTTATATTAGTCTTTATCATTATAATTTTTAATCTTATAATCCCAAAATGACGTCGTTTAAGTTAACTGAAGATAAATCTCCGGTGACTAAAGAAATACTTTTCTCTTTTTAACTATTATAATTTATTGGGTTATTATTAATTAATTATTATTTTTCAATAAATTATAACTGTTAGATTAACAAAAATTAACGGTTAATATTTGCTAGTAAGATGTCGTAAGAAAAAGAGGCAGTAACTATAACCTCTCCCTTTTATCTAAATCTCAAAATTTTTATTTTTTTTGAATAGGATGTATCTACGTCAGCTGTACCCAAAATTTGTTCTTTTAAGTGAGACGTTTTAATACATAGTAATTTATATCCAAGTTGCATTAAATTAACTATGAAATTTCTTTGGGTTACGGTTACCTTTGCCATGTGAATACGGGTAGGAATACGAGCAAAGAAAAAAGAAAAGAAAGAAAGATAAAGATTTGGGATTTGAATAGATACTAAAGGCCAAAATTAGAGTCCACAGTCCACACTGATAGTCGGCTCATCAAATTAGAAGAGGTTTCCTTCCAAAAAAGTTATTGGACCAAACTGTTAATTATTCATTTTACTTGAGAAGCATCTTTCTTTTGTTATTCGGCTACAGTACTGTTGATAAAATCCAAGCATCCAGAAGCCCTTCAAATTGTACAAAAAAATCTCCTTCAAATTGTGTCGTGTTGCCTAGTCATTGGGGTTATCGTTATTATGGTTTCATTTCAGAATAAGGGTTTAGTCACTGGATATTTTATGAAATATTAAACAATGTAATTTTTAATATTTTTAAATTTATTTATTTATTAAGATTTAATAACAAAATTTATTTATCCTAAGCTCACAGTATATTAATAGCATAAATTGACATATAAAGGCCATATCATAAGAGTGACTGCGGCAATATCGTATCATTATTTTTCATTTATAATTGAATTTAATTGTATTAAGATTATAAACTAAAAGGCTAAGATTACTTCAATTGAAATAGAATATTCAAATAAAACTTTGTAAGATTAATGGAATCATATGATTATTAATAAATTATACAACCTCCCATATAATTACACCAACATTCTATTTTCTTTTTAGCTTCATATGTTCAGAGGAAGTATATATATTTTAAAAAAGATAAACAGAAAAGATTTTGTCTTAAAACTTTAAATCATGAATTGTTTATAGAAAGGAGAGGTGAGTAATTCAACAAATCTTGTGCTAGATCTAATTTATTCATACTGTGTTCTTCCCGTGATTTACTACTTGAGACGATTGTAACGTTCACCAACTCCCATGTTTCTTCATGCAAACCAACCACCAAATTACGGAAGTTTTGAAGTGATGCCAAACACTAACGACATTTTTTTTAAAGAATTGAATTACAACACCACCCGCCACAATAACACAATTGACTGGTAGGTTTGGTTAAATTTAAGGATGAAATAAACATATTTCTCTTCTTGTAAATTCTCCCAGACTAGAGATATGGGTACCAATAATGTGACATTAGCCAATTGATTAATGTCCTCATTAAGGTAACTTTTGCCACTTGCCCATAGCTTCTCAGCTTGTCCTCATTACCAGTAATCATTACAGGAGCATTCCCCATTAACAAAATGATGGAAACGATTAGCATCCCTAACAATAATTTCCCTCTTCACTATTTTTGATATGTATTTGGTAACAGTATGACAGTCAACACAAACACGAAGATTTTTGGTGATCCTAATCAAGCTTCCATATGGTGTACTTAAAAGACCAAATGCAATAGCTAATCTCTCACTGTGTCCCCAGAGCAACTTAACCTTCAATGGCTCATTTACATCACGAAGAACACAACTGGTATCAGGAAGGTAACCAGAAGCCTCCACCTCAAGCCTCAAATTTTCTAATAATTGACAAATATCTGTCCAACCAGGATGTGAATCATCACCAGCAAAAAATGTGTATACCCGGTTTCCTATTTCAATCAAACTATAAGCAGGTGTTTTCTTCAGGCCCCGTATCCTCATGAGGCCTCTTATGTAATTCACTGACTCCCATCGTCTTCCATCAGCATATATATTTGATAACATGACATAAATTCCAGAGTTCAAATAATCTAAAGAAATTAATCTATCTGCAATTTGTATCCCCATATTAATATTCTTATGTGTTCTGCAACCACTTAGCAAAGCTTCGAACACATCCGTGCTGGGTTCGAAGGGCATTTGTTTCACCAATGCATCTGCTTCCTCAAGACAGCCTGCTCGACTAAGAAGATCCACAAGACAAGCATAGTGTTTATCACTAGGCTTAATGTTATGATCTCTTTCCATACAGTGGAACAAAGTCTTACCCTCTTCAACAAGGCCCGAGTGACTGCAAGCTGTTAGAAGAGAAACAAATGTAGTTTGATTTGGCTTGAGCCTTTCCTCTATCATTCTATCATAGACACAGAGAGCATTATTTCCATGACCATGCATTCCATAACCCATGATCATAGAGTTACAGAGTATGACATCTTTTAAACAGAATCCATTATTGAATAACTTCTCAGCAGAGTGAATTTTACCACACTTGGCATACATATCAATCAAGGCTGACATATTAACTGCATCAAATGCATAACCATGCCGGATCAAATGACCATGGACACTCCTTCCTTTCTTGAGAGATCCTAGGTGGGCACAGCAATGCACAAGACTAACAAGAGTGACAGAATTGGCAGCCACATTTTCTTCTTGCATCTGACAAAATAATTTCAGGGCATCCTCTGCATAGCCATTTTGCGATAAACCCACCAGCATAGCAGTCCAAGTAACTACATTCCTTTTTTCCATTCTTCCAAAAACAATAGTTGCCTGCTTTGTGGCACCACATTTAGAATACATGTCAACAATTGCAGTGGACAAAATTAGATTTGATTCAAGTCCTTTTCTAATGATACAAGCGTGGAGGATTTTTCCACTTTCCAAGTCAGATGTTTGAGAACATCCCCGAATAAGGCTCACCAAGGTTCCTGAATCAAACCCAGCACCACTTTGGACTAGTCTATGAAATAGAGCAAAAGATTCAGGTATCATACCATTTTGAACATATCCTGAAATCATAGCATTCCATGAAATCAAATTTCTACTGCACATGCTATTGAAAACCAAATAAGCACTGTCAGTGTCACCCATATTATTATACATATCAACTAATGAAGTAAGCACAAATACATCATTGCCCATGCCTAAAGCAAGGACACAACTGTGAACACATGTTCCAATTTTTTTAAGTCCACTTTCTCCACAAGCTTTGAGTAAGCTTGCCATAGTCACAGGACTTGGCTTTATCCCACAACCAATCATCTCAAGGAACATTTGAATTGCCTCCTTAAAGAGGCACTCCTGCACATAACCCCCAATGATTGAATTCCAGCAGACAACATCCCTTTCAGGCATCCCATCAAAGACAGCTCGCGCATCACCAAGATTGCCAGATTTTACCAAAAAATTAATCATTGAACTGCCAACATAAGGATGCAAATGGAATCCCCTCCCAACAGCTGTCCTAACAATTTCCATACCAATCTCATTATCCAATAAGCTGGTGCAGGCCTTGAGAGCAAAGATACATGTGTAACTATTAATTTCTATATCACAAGACCCCATCATTTTAAACAACTTGGGAACCTCCTTGTATTGATGGTTTCTCTGGAACCCAACCATCATGGCATTACAAAGAGTGGTTTCTGGGTGAGAACATTGATCAAACACCTTGCGGGCAACACTAAGAAAACCCAAATCAGAATAAGACTTGATGAGTTTTGCCGCCAAAAAGTGTTCAGTGGATACCCAATTCCTAATAATCTGTGCATGAATAGACTTGACATGGATAAGGGTATTCGAGAAATCATGTAAGAGTGAGGAGAAGACGGAAGGAGGTTGGTTGAATGGGGCATCTTGAATAGAAGCAAATGTTGGGGGTGGTGCAGGTGCAGCGTTGTAAATGAGCCTGCAGCTGCAGGGTATCCTGGCCTTCGCAATTGCGTCTCTGAGGTGAAAATACGATAAAGGCATCAACCATAAGAGGAAGAACAAGAGGTTAGTCTAAAAGGGCGCTACTTCTAACGCTATTGTCTGCTCTGCCAAAATTTTCAAAATTTTAAGACCTCATCTTGTTTATTTTCTAATCAAGAATTTTAATTAATTTTTTCAAAAAAAATTATGATCTTGAGATTTTTAACATTTAAAAGTTATGATCCTTAAATCAATTTGTACTTTAAGTTTCTTTTCCATCATCAGTATATTTGATATTTTTTAAAATGAAAGCTCTTTGACCATCTCCAAAAATATATTTACGGAATCAAAGTCAGATTCTCTCTTTACTTAAACTTATATTATTGAGTTATACCAATTGAATATTTTTTTTTTGTCCGGTAAACAAATATTTCTACTTTTAAGTTAATGTTTTATGGTCAATTTTAAAATGATATAATTTTTATGAAAGATCTTTTGATATCGGTGTCAAAATTTTTAATTTAACACCGATTTTTGTCATTTTGTAACTTAGTTGGCTTCCATGTAGCTTGCAAATTATGAATAAAAGGTCGCAATTCAGTGAATGTAAAAGCTTCTTGTCACGTAACCTTTGCACGAATTAAGAGCACAAAAACTTTCAACCAATGCAAACACAATTAAGTTTGGCCAGTAACACTTTCTTTTCCTTCTTATTTTATTGTTTTTCAGCCAAGGAAGTTAGAAGACTACTTCGAAAACCAAAAAGTATCTTTCTTCCTACCATTCCCTTTGCTCTGAAAGCTGCGTCAGAATTAAACTCATAAACTCCAAAGGAACATGATTGGAGGATTGTGATCGTTTGAATTACTCATTGCTGGCCAATCTAATAACTGATTCTTGACAAAACTATCCATGATTGCCCATTATCCATGGTCAGACTATAAGCATCACAGCATATTCGGGAGCCCAAATAACATTATCAGTGCTGATACTTTATACATTTGTTTACATTATTGAGACTCAAACAATGTCTTAATTCTGTGACTGTCCAGTTTTAGTTATTGTAGGTAGCTGGAAGCTCATCATACAGTTAACGTTTCAACAGGGATCGAAGAGGAAAATAGAAACTTTCGTAAGAATTTCTTAAACAACATCAATTGATTTCTTTACACGCTCTTAGAGGGGTCAACAAAGAACAAACCAAAAAAAGAAGGAAAGAATGAACTGAACCAATGAGGCTGACTTTGCTTATTTCACCCTCGTATGATCAGTTTGCAAACCGAAGTGTGGAAAATTATGTCAAATAATCGGAGAGGAAGATATTAAATTTGAAGTTCCTTGCAGAACTTCACCATTCAAACCTGTTGTAACTTACGAAGATGCTCCAATAATGAAGTAGCTTTCCGTTTGGCCCTCTCTGTACCACTCCGAGCAAGTTCAGAAAGAGGTATGACAGCACCGAGTCTACTTATGCAAGCAAGATTGTCAGCATCCCTCTTGCATAAGGCAAGTAAAATGGCGGCTGCATTCTCTTTGTTGCGAGGCAATCCTGTCCTCAAAAGATCTATTAAAACTGGTATAGTGCTGGCTTTTACTATAGCAACCTTTGCCTCTTGGTGGCTGGCAAGAACCGACATTATTGTTAGGGCTTCGTCAATCATTGATTTGCTTGAATCTGTAAGCATCAGCAACAATGCTTTGATGATCCCTGCCCTAATGGCCCTGCCCTTGTTCCCTTGATAAATGCACAAATTAAACAATGCTGTTGCTGCATCCTTCTTCCCTCTAGGGCTCCCATTTTGGAGCAATTCCACCAATGCGGGTATAGCTCCTGAGGCACCAATTATTATTTTGTTCTCATCAGCAAGTGACAAGCTAAAGAGGGTTGCCGCTGCATTTTCTCTTGCTTCCATGGTTCCAGCTCGGAGGACTTGGACAATGGATGGAATGGCACCAGCAAGCATTATAAGTCCCTTGTTGTTTTCATATATAGAAAGGTTGAGAATTGAAGTAACTGCATTGTCTTGCGTCAATACATCTTCTGAAGTTAAAAGGTTCACTAGAACTGGAATTGCTCCGGCTTCAGCAATCAGTATCCTATTGTCAGTGCTTCGTTTGGATAGTGATCGAATTTCAGTAACAGCTGCTCTACGCTCCTCAACAGACTGGCTGGAGAGCTTCTGGACCAGAGCTTCAATTGCTGCTATGTCACCAGTAACATCTCTGAACGATCCATCACTCTTTTTTATTTTGCCATTAGTTAGTCCAGTTGGCTGCTCAATGTTGTGCTCTACGCACCACTGAGTAATAAGGCTCCTTAAAACATAATTAGGTGTAAGGGTCAAATGTTGGAGCTTCTGCTGAGTTTTCGGACATGTTGCATTACCACAATCTATCCATCTCTGTATGTAAGATCTCTCGTATGTCTGCGGAACAAAAGAAGCATGAAATATAGATGAGCTCAAGAATTCACAGGAAAATGCATTGTATTTTACACAACATCTGAGACGAACTTACCTGACCGGTGGCCACAATAACGGGATCCCTCATTAATTCCAAGGATATAGGGCATAGAAAATCTTCAGGAATTACTATTGCTCCAGGCTTTTTAACTTGAGGTTGACTTTTTCTCTCAGAAATCTCTTGACTTTCAGGATCAGTTACATTTGATAAGGAAACCTCAGAAATGCTCCTTGCTCTTTCCAAGCGAGATCCTGCTCGATATGTGCTGCAACTTTTCCCTCCATTGATTTTAGGAATGCTGTCTAGTTCTGATAAATGTTCAGGACAGCTGTTTTGTTTGTGCAATCCACTCAGAGATTTGCCAAGAACCTGACTAAGTTCTTGATCCAGAGGCTGGGATAATTCATAAGATGGCATTGTTGAAATCATATACCCATATTTTTCTGTAGCTCTTCTTAACTGTGTTCTTACCAAATCCACCTAGAAAAAAGAAGATAATATCAGCAATTTCATCAACGAAGTTGTCGGTAAAGGTAACAAAAACACCACATTTATCAAAGTTCTACCTGTTCTTTGACTTCCTCTGAGATGTCTAAATTGTCATATGGTAAGTTGCTTAATAATTTTTCCAATTTCCATGTCACACACTGAAATTGGAAGACAATGGTCTTGGCAGCTCCATCCTTAAATCAAGATATACCAAAATTCAGAAATGTACACAGACATCCTTTTACAGATATACATGCCCACAGAAATTCAGCATTCGTAAGATTCCAAGTTAAATAATTTGAGAAGTGAAAAACCATCTCTATTTGAAGAAAATGTTGTAATGATATAAATATTTACCAAGACAACCACAAAGAACAATATACAAAATGCCGAACAGAAGAACGATTCCAATCAATGAAACAATATAGTGAATATAGTGGTTTGATAGCACTTATCATACCCATCCACACAACATATGTAATGTAAGCAATGGATTCAAATCCGATAAAGGTTATATCACTTCCTGAAATGTCTATTCTCATAAGTAACAATGGACGGATGGCAAGTTAGGAACTTCAAGATGGCTAGATCAACACAAATTATTGCAGACTCAACCCAATCACAAAATACCAAATTAAAGCCAAAAATAATAAATAAACAAAAATTATGTGATGCTGTTTCGGTTCATCAAATTGAACGTGGTATTCTTTCATCAAATTGTACCACGATTATGACGAGGAATAAAAAGAAAAGAAAAATAAACAGATCTAAATTATTGAAAGACCCAACAAAACCACATTCAAATGTGGGGTTGTGCTAACACGCTGATGCAGGTTACCCAAGAAACAAAAGCAGGAACTACACTCTGTGAGATTAGATCAATTCTCCTGATTTGTTTTGCACATCAATAGCAGCATTCAGCAAATAGCAACCAAACACAATGCACAGAAGCATGAATTCGGAAACACAAAGAACAGAAGGATGAGAAGGACGAGCGTTAGATGGAGAAACTCACAGAAGAGCAATTGGAACGGAAGTTCCTAGCCACCGAAAGCAATCGCTTAGCAGAGTGAAGAGCGAGGACCAGATCAGAGGACCACGAAGAAGCAGAAGCAGAAGCAGTAGCGGAAGAACTGGAAGCAGAATCGAAAACCTTGTTCAGTTCCCCAATCTCCTCGAACAAGTGGGTAAGGAGGGAGATCCTGCGAACCAGATCGGTGCAATCCTTCTTAAACATGGCATCGGCGGCAATGGCGGTGGCGGAGGAGGACACACCTCCAGCCCCGGCGCACATTCCGGCGATGTCGTGAACCAGACTAAGGAGCTCCGGCGTGTGGTGTCCGGCGAGCTCGCCGGCCATTGTTGCAGTTTATGTGTTCGAGGGAAAGTCAGAAAGAGTCTAATAAAGTGCGTGATGAGACTTATCGGGTGTGGACACGTACCAACAATTATGTTATGAGTTTCTCGGATTCGCCTTCATCTGGTTTTCAAATTATTAATTAATTAGTTAATAATATTTAATTCAATTTAAAAGAAAAACGGAAATTATTTAATATAGTTGTAAATTTATTAGAGAGGGTTTAAGAGTGGAAAGCGAGAATCTCGGAGAAAGATTGAAGGATAATGAAAGAGAGAGAATGGAAACAAGAGGATACAGTTGGGTTTGGAATATTATGAATTGTAATGCAACCAACTACACTATCTTTCATTTTTATTTTTATTTTATATCATGATAATTTTCCTTTGTGCACATTATGGTTACCTTCACTATGACTTTCAGTTGGGTTTGGAATTTTGGAATATTATGAATTATAATGCTAAAATTTGTGGAGATGCGAAATCCTATGTAGGAAAGTACGTCTGTGCGTTTGTTTTGTTTAAGAAAATGTTTGCCCATTAATGTTATCAAAAAAAAAAAAAAAAAAATTTCTGTTTCTAACGCGAAGACACCAATATAATGAATATGTCAATGGGATTCTTCATTCTAGTTAAGTTAGTAATTTTAAAGCAATAAATAAAAATAATATAGAGAAATACTTTAAAGATTTAACATTTCTATAAAAATAATATTATCTCTTCCTAATATGTTGACCTGATTTTCTCGATTCTCTACTGACACAAATCGGTAAAGACCGTAAGAGTGAATATTTTGTTTCCTAATTCGTTTCTTTATACCTTGACAACAGCTTGTCTTCTTTATTTTCGACCGTGAATATTTATTACTAACTATTTTCGCGTTTCTATTCTTACAGCACGATTGTGATGGATTTTTATTTATTTATATCGTATATTTGTTTCTTAAAAAAATAAAATTAAATAATGCTTTTAATATATTTGTCATAAAATTTTGTAATTATTAATGTTTATCCTAACTTCCTATATCTTGCTCCGCGTGAGCATAGGCAACATATCTTTTTTGTTTTTTCAATGATATTTTACTTTTTTATTATGATTTTGGTAGCTAGCTGGAATATGAGCACTAAGAAAGGAAGAAAAAAGGGTAAGGATGCAAGGTCGTTTGCCAACCTGTAAAGCCATCATATTGTCGTCTTACTAAGACAATCATGAAACGTTTAATTAAAATGGAAAAAAGAAATGAAGAAAAGAAGATTCGTAATATAATATAAATATAATATTAGTTTTTATTTGTTGGTTATTTACAAGTGTAGATCTTTGCAATGCTGCAGGCTGAGCGATGCCGTAGAGGCAAGGCGCGAGGCGTGTTCCGCTTTGTGTTGATTGGAATAAATTATTTTAGAATTTAGAATCTCATTACACTAAACAAATGGCTTTTTAAATGTTCTATTACTTTGTTTATGTTTTTAATTATTTTGCACATACGTGTGTGTTTTGTCCTAAGGTTTAGTTCTTTCTTTTGTACATTGCTACAAATAACAATGTTAGTCCCTCTTAAATATTAATTACTATCATATACTTCATATTAAAAAAAATTAAGATCATTGTGCTTGACAACAAAATGAGGGAATACAAATGAAAAACAAAAACAAAAACAAAGTAGAAATAGAATAGTTAATTTGTCATTATTTATTTATTATTATTTGGATGAACATAAGAGAATGGTAATTTATCTATTGTAATCTTTTTATGACAAATTGTAATAGCTTTTTCACCGAATGGGAGGCTTTTTTTTTAGACTTAGCTAGTAAATTTTTAATATTCATGTAACACGTATTCTCTTATTAAAATTAGGAATACGTGGATTAATGTGGTATTGAAAATAAACTAAACATAATTAAGTCAATCGTATATGTTTTTAATTTTGATGTGTTTATCGAATTTTTTCAAAAATTTAAGTTATTAGGTTAAAGTAAATAAATGATTTTATACTTTATATTATATTTCTAATACATCTCATACAAGAGGTCATAGAACTTGACAGGTGGATAATAAAAGACACATCTATCAGTACTAAATTTTTAGGAAATATTACTCTCCTTTTACATAAGATTACTTCTCTTCTACTCTCTCACTTCGATTTCCGCACCTCACCTTTTTTCTTTTCTTTTTTCTTATAATGGTGGGACCCACCCATTTTATCTCTACAACATAAGATACCTATCTTATGTTGAAGGAGAATAATAAAACCCTAAATTTTTTTACCATATTTATTTAAACAATAAAAATGACAAGAATAAAACTCTATATCATTTTATTATAAATAGTTTGATATCATATCATGTAACTAAATTTTCCAATAACTAAAGTTATTAAATAATAGCAAATAAATAATTGTATAGTTTATATTATATTTGTAATGTAATCGATGTGGCTGTGACAATTACTAAAAATTTGTCGCTATTAAGATTTTGCCTAAGTTGTGAAGGCTTCTTTAGCGTAAGACTCGGATTGATTCGAATATATTTTATAAGGAGAATGATAAAAAGTTCACCTTGTGAAAATATTTTCTATTTCTTTACATATAAGTCATGAAATTAAATAATAATGTAATTGTATTTTATTTTTTGTCAGACATTTTCAAACATCTATAGTATCTGAAAATGTCTTTGAATTACGTCTAATTTGAGTTTAGTCGGTAGACTGAGCCTTTTTGACTCAATCTGTGTAACTTTCGAAATTTTCTTATATATAAAAACCAAATATTTTATCAAAATGATAAAATAAATGGTGGAGTTTGCTCTTGAATCAGTAAGGTCAAAAGGCCCTAAACTCATTTAGGGAAAGAAATATCTTTCAGCATTTTTTTTTCCATATTTTATAAAAATCAAATTTGAAACTTTCTTTTTTAGATAATCAAATTTGAAACCTTACTTACCGTACGGATTAACATCCGTTGGTAAAATTAAACAAATTTAACCTAATATGTAAGCATAATTAATTATTAGGTATGCTCTTTTTTATTTTTCAAATATTAATTAATTATTAAGCTAATTAAATTAATAATTTATTTACATTTAATTAATAATATGATATATCAGAATATAAGCATTTCACTGGTCAAATGTTTAAGTAAATTAGTGATTAAATTAATTTAATACTTAATCAATCAATAAATTAAACAAGAAAGGAAATATTTTTGAAGAAGCGGAACCATTAATTATTTTCTCTATTTTCCTATTTCATACTCTCTGGCTTAGATCAAGCCTAAGCTTAAAGTCAGAATTAGTGGAGAGATAGTATATGTTGCACATATATAATTCAATTTCAGAGAGTCGTGCATGGGATGGCTCTTTTAACATCTATATTCAATTTTTCCATTAAAGAATTTGAACTTGAGATCTCTAATTCTCTATTCAAGGAAAATAAAATTTTTGCCACTTAAACCAATGAATATTGGTTTTGAAAGTTGCTCTTTGTATGGAATTACAAGACACTAAGATTTCAAAAGGAAAATATAATAAAAAAAAAATCTGAATAAAAAGGAATAAATCGTATCGTTTAATATAAACAAATTTTATTACATGAATTGGATAGAACTAATCTAATCCGAAATTGGTTCCAAAAGTAATTCAGTTAGATAAAATAATTACCTAAAACTTGTGAAAGTAAGTATTGGTATAACACATACCTCACAATTTTATTTTTATTTTTTTGTATAGGACTCGTACTCATTACTATCTCAATAGGTACTTGTCGAGTTGTCGTCATACTTAAAATATTTATGTACATTAGCATTGTAATAGGGGTATTCATCAACCAATCCAAATCGATTCAAAATGCGGTGACTGAATCGAAAAATCAAAAATCAAAAATCGAAAAAAAAATCGCAAAATTTAATTTAATTGGATTGCATCGGTTTTCGGATGGGTTGGTGAAAACTGATCCAATGATTCCCCAACCTTACCATCTACCTACTTGGGCCTTTTTCTCAATTATAGCCCAAAAATCATATAGCAAAATTCTATTTTCAAGACTCATTAACCCATCATGTTGGAGAAAATGGGTTATGCTTTATCTATGTTATGTTTTTTTTTGTAAGATACATAATATATTTTTATTACATGGATTATTGCTGTACAACAACTCATCTATAGGATCAAAATTTGGGTTACTTCGTATCTCAGGCAACCATAATATAAATTATAATTTTTTTGTTGGAGATAAAAGACGACAATTCAACTTTTTGTTGTACAATGCTTCTAGATTGCAAAATAATCATTATACAAACTTTACAAAGTCGATACATACAAAAAATATATTATTTGCACAATAATAATCACACAAATCTTATGTTCTGCCTTATGCAGATGTGTCCAATTGGGATTGGATGATTGATCTATGATCCAGGTGTCTTCTCTGGATATCTATGAGTTAGGTATCTTGAGGACAGCAGATCACACATTATTTAATGGCCTTAGCCTTGGAAGAGGTGTGTGTGTGTACTGTCTCGTTGTGCGTATCAGTAAAAAGAGATTAGGTCATACCTGTAGCGTCCAGCTCTTATTTATAATGCTTACCTGTGGGCCTGCGCTGATTGTGGGCCTTACTGATCATGGGCCTATTCCTGGTCCATAACAATTGCCCCCCAGCCCGGTATGCTGAGCCTTCAGGATGCCGGGATGTAAAGCCGAGTAGCAGAGCCTTCAGGATGCCGGAGTGAAAATGGGTGCCTAGGCAATCGCAACAGATCCTCCTTTTGCAGGCAATCATTACAACTTTCCACGTGGCCCTCTCATATCTGCGCAACGTGCGCCATTACGCCTACTCGAGCCATTGGCATTTATTGCGACTGCCCCAGCGTCCTTTCAACCGTCTTTCCCCCCGAAGTTACCCTTTTACCCTTGACCTTTGGTTTCGCGGGTTTCACCTATTTGATTTGTGCCTCCTCCTTTCTCACTTCCTTACTTGCTGCATTACGCA